CTAGTGAAGGGCTTTGAGCAGTAGAGTAGCATGATATGGTTTATATTTTAATAACATCAGTTTGTTGGCCAAAGATGCACAGGGGTAGCAGCAGGGATACCAGTAGGTGGCTCTTGCAAGAATGCAGGAAAAAGAGAACAATGGCTCAGACCCGAGTGGCAGAGGCAGGTACAGGCGCTATGGGAATAGCAGGATAGTATACCTATACTTGGGAGAAGGAGAGCAGGCTGAGGAAAGGAAAAATTGTCATGGGAATGCTCAAAAAAGAGATGATGCCCAAGTACAGTTAGGAAAGTTGAACAGGAGCTTGTTGTGAGGACAAGAGCAAAGAGAACACAAAGCAAATGGGCCCAGAGGTGTACGGGCAGGAAGCTGTCAATACTTCAGTGTGATGAGATTGTGGGTATATGGGCCAGAGGCAGAGGCTCAGGCCGAAGAGCTCAGCAGGACCGAATCACGAATGACCCTGGGTGACGTGCAAGGAATTTTGGACTTTATCCTATAGGCTATTGAGAACCACTAAAGGCCTTTAAGCAAGAGAGTGACATAATCAGGTTTCTGTTTCAAAGGGATCACTCTGACATCACCACGGATTCAGCGGGAGGGGAGTGAGTACTGACCGGGGAAAAAAGTGAGGAGGCTGTTGCTTGGTCAAACCAAAAATGGAGCAGGGTGGGGCGAATCTTAGACATGGAAGCTGGAACACAGAGAAACAGCAGCTCCAAAGCACAGTTAACCAGTTAGGCTTTGGAAGTACGGACAAAGAGAAAAGTGGGTAACTCCCGCTTTTTCTAAGTTTCTAGCTTAGAAAACTAGAAATGGATAATGGTCTAATTCCCCAAAACAAGGCATATAAGAGAAATAAGGTTAGGGGGAGTAGATTATTAATTTTGGACATGTTGCATGCGAGACATCCAGGTGGACACGACAAACGTGCAGGAAAAAATAAGGGCCTAAAACGGTGCAGTTTCACGCTCGGTTCTCAGCGGCAAGTGATGATAGCCTACGCTGGAGTCGGGGTGAGACAGCACGAGAGTGAAGGGTGAGAGGGTCACGGGCACTATTCCAGGTAACACTAACATTTAAGGGGCGGGTAAAGAACGGAAAGCCGGCCAAGGAAACTAAGTAGCAGCTGTCTGTGAACGAACCTAACAGGACAACAAGTTTCAGGTTAAAGGACTCTCCATCTTCCCCGGGGTATTTGATGCAGCCTCTAGCTTCCGAAGAGCAGCAACGAATAACTGTATTGCTTGATGGATCTACTCTGGAATCAGGCTGCAACCAGACAGCAGATGAAGACAGTAACTAAAACTAGACAGTACACAAAGGCCAGGGCTACATTTAGGATGCTGAGTCAAATCAACGTTAACCGTAGTTATATAACTAGAACTGTATAATAGAAATTGGTTAAAGAATTATACGGAACAGATTAAGTCTTACGAGGCATTCAGAATGTAGTAAGAGAAGTGACTGCTATGCTGAATACTCTCCTCTGAAGACAGAGAAGAGAACTGCAAAATCTCTACCTCTGTGAAAGCTCCCCTCCCTAAGAAAGCCAACTTCACGCAACTGCCCAGGTTTTGGTGTCAAGGGCTGATTCCTAGCCAGGGGCTGCCAGCTGCAGAGGGCGGGGCTCTATTTTGGGCTGCCTGTCCCCGAGCCTGGCCGCGTCTGGTTTGAGCAGCATGCAGCCCCAGTGACTCACACACCCATGCAAACCGCCTGTGGCTCCGTGGCCTGGCCTCGGAATGCCAGCCTTAGGCCAGCTCCCTCCTCACCCCATTACACTGGGATAAATAAATAAAGAGCCCCGCCAGCAGCCGCACGGCCTGATGGCAACCAGATGGAGAGAGGAAGGCACGGACAGGGCCAGGGGAAGGAACTCCCTCCAGTGGACTAGACGGAGAGCGGGCTGTGCCAGCCCAGGCATTTTAAAGTTCCCCTTTAACACAGTTCTGACTGCCATGCAATATCAGTCCCCAGTTTTTTGACTCATCTTCTACTCCTAAAGGTGACTTTCAGCCCCTGGTCCTAGGAAATGCTCTACCTGGGGCTCTCGCCCTCTGTGAGAATCATGCCAACAGCTACTTCGCCCACCTGACTTGTGTCAGTATTGCCAGTGTTCCCCCTCTCGTGGGGCCACCATCAGCTGGCTCCCTTGGGCTCCCTGGAAATGAGAAATCAGAGGCTCTTGGGGGAGAGTGGGGAGGAAGAGCTAAATATGGAGAAGTAGCAACCTCTGTTCAATCCTTAAATATTTTTCCTGGCCTTAGTATCCTAGAAACTTCCCTGTCCTACTGCCCCCTGCTCTATCTCTATGGCCTTCTGCCCAGCAATGGTCCCAATGAAAACGAGAAAAAACAGCCCCCGGGTGCTGACCGTATGGCCCTCTGACTTCAGTCCCGGCCCCCCTGCACCTTCATCCCAAGCTCCCTGTCCCTGGTTTGTTTATCTTCCTATGTTGCTTATTTTGATGGCACATCCTTCCAGCTCCGTTCTGAATGACCCCCGTGACCCTTCTGTGTCCTGTTTGTGGGACCCCAGGCCAGCAGCATGACTGCAAAGATGCAGCGGCTATAAGAAATCCTGAAGTCCTGCTAGGAAACCTCTCAGTTCTCACAGCGACACAGGACATTCGATGATCCCAGAGGACAGTGCAGTCATCCTAGAGGTCACAAGAATTTCACATTATCCTAGCCCTGAACTCTCCTCTAAATGGTGTTACAGCCAACACCGCAAAATGAAATAGGGATACTCCTAGACAAGAAGCATAGGAGGTCCCGAACATACAGTTATAGCTTAATGACCTTAGACAAGTCACTGAACTTCTCAGACGCCCAATTTCTTAGTCTATGAAATGGAAAGCTACAACTACCTATCTCTCAGATCCTTGGTAGATATAATAAAATTCTACAAAGTCTATGTGGCTTGGATGTGATCCACCCAAAGTCTAAAGGACCAGTATTCTTGAGGCGGTTGGTTTCAAAACACTAATAGCCTTCCTGGACTAGCAACTGGATTCTACACGCTTTCACATTCAGTTCTGTGGGGCTCTCCTGGCCCCCAGAGCATGGAAGAGATGAGCCTCCAATTTTATCAATGAGAAAATAGGGGCTCTGAGAGAAGTGACTTATCCAAAGCTGTAAAATAAACCAGGAGAATAATCGAAGACCCCAAATATAGGTCTAGCAAGCACCACTGTTATCAACAGGCCACGATTTTCGTAAAATCCCCCTGGCATATATTTATCAACATATTTATCCACACACTTCTGGAAAACCTGCCAGTTCTAGGCACTATGTTCAGTGCTGGGGATGTGGGAATGCATCCAACACAGTCCTTGCACTCGAGTCATCCATAAATTGGGGGAGGAGAAAGCCTTGCAGACATACACATAGTAATATTACAAAGCGCTGAGTGGTAAAATAAAGGTACAAACCAAGGTGCTATAATAGCAAGGATGAAGTATTATCTTTACAAGAGTCCTGAAAGGTCTCCTAAAGAAGCCGAGCACAGCAGTTTACAAGGTATAAGCCCAGAACACTGGGCATTCTAGATAAAGGGAACAATGTGTACAAAGACATAAAGGTCAGAGAAAAAGCATTTTTGGTAACTAGAAGTCATTCTATATGGTCGAAGCATCAAGCACATAAAGGAAAATGTCAAGAAACCAAGCTGGAGAGGAACGCAGGCCCTAGATCAGGAAGGGACCCCTCTGCGGAGCTAAGAATAAGCCTTGCATTGTTTGACGAAGGGGCTGAGGCACGAACTAGTGTGTCATCTCCCGCCCCTGTTGTTAACCTTGCACCCAAACTCCTGGACAAGGGAAGTTGACAGAAGAAGGACCTAGGAAATCTATGTTTAATGGTCTCTCTTTCCCCATAAAGACTTGAAACCTATTCTGCTTCAGGACTTAGCAAATACATGACTTCCTCCTCCAGAGTTACAGTGGCTTCAGTAGATGGACTCTGCACTCAACTCGCATTGTTCTGTCCTTAATGGAGGACCCCAACGTTCTGGAGTCACTGACCAGCCGACACACAGAGGCGGAACAGAAAGTTCCAACTCCAGAACACCTGCTGTGTGCCTAACTCTGTGAAAAGTACTAATTTTAGGTTCAAAAGCAGTAAGAGTTACAGCCCCTATCCATAAGGAGTTTACAAATTAGCCTAGAAGATAGAAACATGAATAACTTATATGTAACATAATACTATGGTAGCATTATTTACTTACATAATAAAATACCAATGTGGATAACATGTACAATTAGGAAACAGGGCAATAATATTAAGGTACTAACTGTACAACCAACAAGTCCCAGAAGAGTTAGAGAAGGAGAAGATCAATATTGACTGGTATTATCAAAGGTCACTATTAATAATACTCCCCCTGTTTGGCATCTAACAGTTGTTTCTTTTGGCCAAGCTGAATCCTTAGAAGGGAAACCCAGGCAGGAGCTTCTGACAGGCCACAATTATCTGCTCCCCATTCATTCCTTTGCCAGTCCCCTTGTATAAACACTGTGATTTTCCACAGCCTACTGTGCCCACAAGACAGTCCCCAAATGGTAGCCCTGTGCTTTCCCCCTTCCTCTCCTGTGGGATGTTGAGGGCCCTGGACAAGTAATAATAACTAGTGCCCCCCCAGCCCCCACCCCGCTCCATAATCCAGACCTGTGATCAGACCTCAACAAGCAAGAATGTAGCAACTGGGCAACCAAGCTTTCCAAGGTCAGAGAATTCCAAATTAAATACCTAGGTACTTTAACAGAGATGTTTTATGAATTTAATCAGCCTGCCTTTGCCTTTTACTTTCTTTCCCCCAACTTCCCATGTACATCTCAAGCTTTCCCGGACTTTTTATGGGCAACTTTTTCAGACAAAGAGCTTTCCCACCATGCGAGCAACCCAATACCCAAACACAAGTCACCACTTGAGCATCTGGAAAAAAAGGAAGTAAAGCCAGGTGGAGCAGGAGGAAGGAAATAACAAATACACTACCTCTACCATAAACTGTTCCAAGAAAGACGTTTCTTCAAATGGCTCTGTCTTCAACCGATCTGTGATAAGAAGGGATACAGAAAAGAAATGTGAGTCTTATCCGTGCGGTAGAAAAGAAACAGAGCCCAAAACTTCTGGGGAAAGAGCACGAAGATGCGACTCCCAGAGGCGCCTAGTCCCCCCGGGGGAGGGGTGGGAGTGCGTGGGCACACAGGAGGAGGGGGAGGGGTGATCGGCAACAAACGGCAGGCTCCGTGGGGCACGTGCTCTCCGAGGTTTTCCCAGCACGAAGACAAAGGTCAAACTGAATTTTTATTCTGAAGTTGGAGCTATGCAGCTTCCTGAAGTCCCAAGTTCATGTTGCCCTCGCACGATTTTGCATAGCTGTTGGCTGCTCTCCAAGTCTTTCTTTGCCATTTCCTAGGGCATGTCTGAACTCGGTGACAGCCTCCATCGGCCAGTTGGGCACCAGCCAGGTTCTCGAGTCAGAGAGAAGCAGCAAGGCTCCATGTTGGCCGGTCCGCAGCACCCACCCTCCAAGAAGCACCTCTCTAACGTAAATAAAGTCCCCCTTTTCTGAGGCACCTTTGATTACCTGGACCATTCCCCACCCGACATCCCAAAGAATGTCCTCTCACCTCGGCTCAGCGTAGCCCCGCTCTCCTGGTAGTCCTGGATCTCCAGATCTTTCATACGAAGCAGTGTGGCCAGCTCCCTCGCCTGGCACTGCAGGGCCAGACTCATGCCCATCAGAGGACGAATCAAATGCTGGGACACCTTTCATGGAAGAGATAGCGATGAGCTAACAGATACTTACAAAACATTCCCTAACACTGTATCAGTAAGCAGAAAAATACTGGAATAAATGTTTTCATAGGAACTTACTGTTTCATAGCCAAGCAATCCATTTACATGAATGTAAATACAAATGTAATAATTAAAGAAGTTCAAGGATTTTCTCTGTGTCACAGATAAAAAGATGAGAAGAATAAAGCATACTCATGAATAGATACCTAGAGTTGTAAAGAGAAGGATGTGATCAGCTTAGAAGAGGAAAGTACTAACTCAACTCTCAGCAGAGCATGAGAGACGAAAGCAGAAGATCCAAGTAACCCTCCAGAAAGTAGGGTGTGGCTACACTAGAACGTACTAGGTACAGTATAACAGGAGACAAAAGTCCACAGAAAGTAGAGAGATTCTGAAGTCATATTTGACCTACGCACTACGGAAGAGCCATTTCAGTTTGTTACCACCAATGCAGCAAAGTCTAAGGTCATTGCTGTAACAGAAGCAAGCCAGTCACCGAGAGGCCAGCCTAGGAAGGAACAAACTACCAATACACACACACCTTGCCCTTAACGAGAGGTAAGAAGGTCACAAGCATAGCCGTACTGCAGCGCAGCTAGGATGCTGTTCTCATATGATAATGTGCAGCTATACAAAATTATCATTTAATTCTCCTATGCAAGGTCTCTATTAGCCTTGGAAAGATAAAAGCCTTAGCCAAAGAAAATAACTAAAATCAATAATCTATTTGTGGCTAGGGGATGTGACCAGAGTTTCCTTCCCTTCCCGAAGGAGATGAGCTGAGGAGGCAGTAAGAAGAAATGCCCTAGACCAGAGGTCAGCAAACTTTTTCTGTAAGGGACAGAGAGTCAATATTTTTGATTCTGTGGCCCATACAGTCCCTGTCGCAATACTCGGCTCTGCTTTTGCAGCATGAAAGCAGCCATAGACAACATGTAATAAATGAGGGTGGCTGGGTTCCAATAAAACTTTACAAAAATAGGCAGCAAGCCTGGGTTGGCCTGCTGACCATAGTACACCAACCCCAGGCCCCGATCTACATGGAGAATTTTTAGACAAGATCAGCCCCCACAGGCCTGCAGTGAGGAAAGGGTACCAGAGTGCCCTTATAAGATAGGCAAGCCAGCCCTGGCTGGTGTAGCTCAGTGGGTTGAGCACGGGCCTGCGAATCAAAGGATCTCGGTTCCAGTCCCAGTCAGGGCACATGCCTGGGTTGCAGGCCAGTTCCCAGTGGGGGACACACGAGAAGCAACCATACATTGATATTTCTCTCCCTCTCTCCTTCCCTTCCCCTCTAAAGATAAATAAATGAAATCTTTTAAAAAAATGGGCAAGCCAGACTCATCTCAATCAGGATTAGCAGTCTGAACTCTTCAGACTTTCGTGTTTTTGTTTTCCATTAATTTTCTAGCAAAACTTACTACCCAAAACTCCCGTTGTATTGCGGCTCCAACTGAGAGGAAAGACTTTTTTCCACATTTCTCTCTCTAATGGCGGGGGGGTGAGGGGTTCGTGGCAGGACCTTTTGTACCAGCGCCAGGGCCAGAGAGATGCAGGGTGACCGCACCGAGTGGCAGGCCAGAAGGGGAGTCCAGCTCCAGACCCCGGCCCCTTTTTGTCACACAGCGCATCCCAACTTGGCGCTGTCTGCCAGCTCGGTCCTTAGTATAAACTCAAACGTCCAGGAAGTACTATTCCGTATGTGGCAGAAGTTCTGCTTTGGGAAAACGTATCTGCTCTAGATCCAGCCCTGTGTCCTAGGAATTGTTCGAGGTAAATCGGGAAGAAACACAAGTGAGGACTTGTATGAAAGCAAGTCAACGTCTGGCGGGTTGAACGGAAGTAATTGTGCGGGCTGACCAAGCAGTGTCACCATCCGTTTGGGGACAGCCCCCAAACAACAGAAACTCCTCGAGCCGAGAAACCAGCCTCTCTCTAAGAGGCCACCTTAACAGCAATTTCTTTGAGTGGTGGTAAACATAACAACATGAAACATGATGGGAAACAGTCTTTAATCAATGCCATGTCTAATTAAACATGCTGATGCTATACCAGGCACCTGAAATTATCTATTGGATGCCGGGGTCCCCATAGCAAAAAAATATATATATATGTCAGTAAATATTTTAACTTCTAAAATATTTCATAGGATTGGGTTACATCACTCTGAATCACTGACTCACTTCAAAGTTAGATGAATGCTAACTTAGATCAGTTAATTAGAACAAGGCATTGCGGCCAAAGGAACACATTTCAAAGCAAATCCACAGACACTACAAGGGAAAATCTTGAAATGCTTTTGGAGGGTACAGACACACCTACCCGCCCCCTTCCCTTACAGACAGCAATACATGAAGAGATGCAGTTCAACAAGTCAATTCAACAAATACCTACTGTGTGCCTAACACACGCTTTGACCCTCCGAGGCCTACGCCCTCGAAGAACTCAAGAGTTAAGAAGGACAGGAAGTGTGGTGGATAGAGAAGCAGGAGTTGGCAGCCTTCTCCAAGGGAAAAGCTATTTGTAATTTCCCGCGATGTCTCCAGATTGCTCACAGAAATGTTCACAGGTCATACATAGGCAGGAGAGCAGAATGGCAGTTATCAATCCCAAGATGAATCGTATCAGGTCTAGATATAGTGAAAAGGGTAACAGACTGGGAAGTCAGAGACCTAGACTCTAGTTCTGGCTCTGAGAGCACCTAGACGTAACACTGGCTTAATCCCAAGTATTCTCATGGCCCCAATCTTTTCTAAAAAGAAAAAGCATGATGTTGGAACATTTGCTCTCACAGGTCCACTATAATGCTAAGGGTAAAAAATATTATGTATGCCCTTTCATTTAATCCTCATAACTCCACAGTAAGGTTGTTATTGGTATTTCTGCTTTACAGATAAAGAAATTGAGACTCATAAAAATTCAGTAACTTATCCCCGGTAATACCAATAGTCCAAGTGGCGAAGCTGAGCTATAAATTCACGCCTGCTGGTTCCAAAGCCTGTGCTCTTTGCTCTTTCTTAAAAACAAACAAACAAAAAAACCCTTTGCATGTGAGTCCTAGGAATTATAAAATGGCCAAAGAGGCGAGAAATTTGAAAGTCAAAATATGGAATATCAAGAATTACATTAGACAGGGACAGCGGCGAGTGCCCCGCCGGTGCCCATTTGACCGCTTCATTCACAGGGGCAGGCACCGTGCTCCACCCTCACCGTGGGGAACCAAGTGAACCGGCCTGGCTCCTGCTAGGGTCACTCCCCACAGGTTTGATGAAAAGATACCACGTTCCGGTTTGTCGTGTGTGTGGACAACAGTGCAGAAGCTAAAACTGACGTATTTTTATGTGAAGTCTTCCTATCCTTTGATTTTTGATAAACTTTGGAAACCAAAAAAAAATAAAAATAAAAAGAATTACATTAGAAAAAATGTATAAACAAGAACAAAAGGATTCCATTAGATACTGGACAGAATACACAGTGGAAAGAAGAAGAAAAGAGAGGTTGGCCAGAGTGGACATGGGCTGGGTGCTGGAAAGCAGAGACCCAAAGCTTTATATATCCCAAAATATCTTACAGGGACTTAAGAACTATTAAATTATGAATGTGAATACCTTACGCCGAGGAGGGTGTAGGGCAATAGGTACTCTCCTACTCTCCTGTATGACTAGTAGGAGTTAAACCGCACAATCTCTCTGAAAGACAATCTGGCATCATGTTAGCAATGTTAAAGATGCAGCTATTCCTCATTCGGCTATTCCACTCCTAGTAATTTAACCACACAGCTGCACACTGAAAAGTGAATACAAGGGTATTCACCATCTATAACAGCAAAAGAATGGGAACAACTTAGGTGTCCACTAGTAGCGTATCGATTAAATACATGTTGATATCGTCATTAAACAAAACACTATGGTGTCATTAAAAATATTAAGGCAGGTCTTCTAAATGTATTGGGATGAATGGTTTCTAAGTTCTGGAAGTAAGTGAAAAAAGCAAGGTAATGAAGTGTGAATAGTGTGCTGCCATTTGTGAAAACACATACATACACCCAGATAATATTCGACTGTGTGAGTACATGCAAACATACGTATATATGTACCTATATATAGCTTTCTTTAAGAACTCACAAGAAGTTGATATCAGTAGTTGCTTTAGAGAAGGAAAATGAGGGACTGGCAAAGGGGGTAGAAAGACCTATTTTTTCACTGTATACTCTTAAATATCTGAAGTGTTTGTCTTTTGCATGAATTACTCATTCAAAACAATTAAATAAAAACTATCATGAGAATGAGTAACACACACAAATGACAACTGTGTGACCTCACAGACACACGCATAAGCTTGAAATAGTGACCACCTACACCCTTGCCAGTGTCCACGGGCTCGAACTTTTTCCCTATAAAGCTTTTTCGGGTCCAGGGATTTTCCTGGGATGGCATTCTTCTTGTAAAAATGATAATTTTATTTTACATGAAAGTATAATCATTACCCACTGTTCAGCGCTCACCCCCTCCCACAGCGATCGAGACTCACTCCACTCTGAGCGGCGCTGCTTCTTGGGCTGCGGCTCCCCAGTTACAGAAATGTGTCTAGAAAAGTGTTTTCCATTTTTTCTTTTTTTATTGTTGTTCAATTACAGTTGTCCCACATTTCCCCCCATTGCTCTCCCCTGCCCCCCAGTTTTTCTTTATATATGATTTTCAACTATAATATAACATTATTCTTTTGAAAGAAAAGAAAAAACTATTAGAGTTCATCAGCCTCCCCAATGTCACTTCTAAGTTTTTTTTTGTTTGTTTGTTTTTTTCCCTAAGTTTCCAGGGCTGTGTGAAGCAAAATAAGACTAGCCATCATTTACTTGTGCTTCCCAAAGGTGACCCGAATGTTTTGGTCTCAGAACAAGCATTATTGAGGGAACAGTGCCCCCTGGTGTTACTTGGAAAAAGTGACGGGGGTTTTGAACAAAATAGGTAAGTTCTGTATGTAAAGCAGGATGGAAAATTTCACAAGAAATTCAGATAAAAATCAACAAATACGAGTGACTATTACCTGCTAAGCACTGTTTATGGGCCTTAGGAATTCAGAGTTTAATGAAATGTAGTCCTCCGAGCACTCAAGTGTAGCTCCACTGGGTTCCAGATCAAGAGAACACTGGAGAACAGTTTCTCCAAAGGCACTTTGCCCCGCCCACTCTGTAGATGCCAGAGTACCACATCACCTCTGGGAGACTAGAGAAGGGGATAGGAAATGACGCCCGTTTGTCAGATCCCTTTGCTGATAAACCTAACCCCTAGGCCTTGCATAGAAGAACCCCTCCTCCAATGCAACTGAAATAAGCTCTGTTATCATAGAAGTGTAGAAAAGACCAGCAGCAGTAATGCCTACAAACTGATTCTTAATGTCTATTCCCAACTAACCAATTTCTTTTTTTTTAAGTTTTTATTTATTTATTTTTACAGAGAGAGGAAGAAAGAGAGGGACAGAAACATCGACTGGCTGCCTCTTGCACACCCCCAACCCAGGGACCTGGCCCACAACGTGGGAATGTGCCCCGACCAGGAATCCACCAGTGACCTTTTGATGCGTGGAACAACGCCCAACCTACTGAGCCCCACCGGTCAGGGCTCAACTAACAAATTTCTAAGAAAAGCTCTTGGGGCCTAGAAAACTACAAGTGAGCAAAGGACAGTCTTCCCCTAGTCCCTGAAAATGGGCTCTCAAATCATACCTCTCTGCAAGTCAAATTCCAGCTTGTTCATTTATAAGCTGGATGACCTTGGACAAATTACATTCGATATCAGTTTTCTACGCTGAAAAACAGGGAAAGCGATACTTATCTTGCAGGACAACTGTGAGACTTAAAGGATGAAATACTATTCAGAAAGAAACCTAACACTGGTACAAACTCTACCCTGTTGCCAGAGTGATACTGATAAAGTGCAAATTGAATCATGTTAAGCTCCAGCTTAAAGTTTTTCAATGAACCCCTGTTGCCCTTGGGATAAAATCCAAACTCACTAGAACACTTCATGATTTGGCCACTGCCTACCGTATTTCTCTCAATTTTCTGCAGTCACAAAGTTCCCGCCTTGTCCCACACTAAACACCTCCATGCCTCTCAAAATGCACTCTTGCCTAGAATGACATCTTTATTTTCTCCCTATCAGTTCCTGCTCATCTTCAAAACCCAGCTCAGAAACTCTCTTCAAGAAGATTTGTTGGATCCTAAATCACCCTGGGCTTACCTCAGTCAAAGAACTTACCATCCTCTATCCTGTTGCCTGTCTGTCTCCTCACTGGATTATAAACTCCAGGAATAGGCCACATTGTCTTAGATCTCGACACCCAACAACTGGCCCACAGTAGTTGCTTAATAAATGTTGAATAGAGTAATGAATAAAGACACCCAGGAAAGTATGCAGACTCCAACTCTGCTCCCTCTGCAAGGAAAGGATGTACCAGTCAAGAATCCTTTTTGCCTTCTGTCTGGACAAGGAGAGTTTTCTAATTAGAGTTTCAAATGTAGTTTCAAAAAATAAGAGCACCTAAAGCTTCATTTCAAAGCTGCTAACAGCCCCCTTCCCTACCCTAAATTTGAATTTTACTTACCAGGGAAGGGCTAGCTAGGATGCAGTGGAAATTCCAGTAGAAGGGGAGCCCAGAGAGCTCACTCCGCACCCGCAGTATCAGTGCCTCCGCCCCATGATCACAGGAGAAGGTAGCTTTTCCAGGGCAATCAATGTTCTTCAACAGTGGGCGAAGCAGATTATCCAAATGACTGAGAAAAGCCTCAGGGGGGGCAGTCAGGCGCTTGTTCAGCTCCTGAAAAGACAGCAGGGGCTGCACAGAGTGAGGGCACTAAAAGGAGACTGACTCCTCCATAAATAACAGCAGAGGAAAACTCAGGTGAACAGGAAAACACCAGGCATGAGAAAAGAGATCAACTGGCCTACTTCACAATTCTGCCTTGTACTGTATGCAGTGCACAAACTAACACACACACACACACACACACACACACACACTTGTGGAAAGACTCCAGGGCTATAGGTAGAAGTGCAGGACATTAACTGGAATTGTCTCAACCTGATTCAACTTTCCTTGCAACTGACAGGCCAGCAAGCTAGTTGATCTTAATGTCCCCCGACCTTCACTAGGAAAGAAATATCCATCACCACAACACAGCATCACTTCTCTTTGCACGTACCTTGGCTCGCTGGCTGACAACACTGGCATCCACCTGTTCGTGCCACACCCCTTGAAGATCTGAAATCAGCAAGGCATAGCCCTGCTTAGTAATATAAGCTTTAGCCAAGAGGGAGTTCTCAGCAAGCTGTAGCCATGCCCATGGCTGCACCAACAGGCCTTGCTCCACTTCATCCATCCGCAAGAGAGTCTTAATTTAGCAAAGTGTCCAAGGGTACTCGAGGCCTGGGGGGTGGGGGAAGAGACCATCAGACAGTTGAATAAGTCTCATAAAATTCCTCCCTACTTAAAACAGGAAGCATGAATTTTTTCTTTAAGATTGTATTTATTTACTTTTAGAGAATAGGGACAGGGGAGGAAGAGAGGGAGAGAAACACCAATGTGTGATTGCCTCTTGCACACCCCATACTCAGGGCCTGGCCTGCAACCCAGGCATGTGCCCTGACTGGGAATTAAACTGGCAACCCTTTGGTTCGCAGCCCGCACTCAACCCACTGAGCTACACCAGCCAGGGCACGGAAGCATGGATTTACACTCTACCCCATTCAGTCCCCCCCACCTCCCTACCCCTGGTATACACCCAACTGAGCACCCATCTTAGTACCTCTTGGCCACCAAAAATCTGTTTAGAATTTTGAGAGATTTCTTTTCCATATTAAGTTCCTATGGGGCATAAAATATATCTTTCTTCTATAGCATTTAAGCCACAGCATATTGGTGTTAGTGTTTCTGTTTTCTAATATAACAATATGGAAACCGTTCTTGTTGCATATTTATCACATTCCTAAGAAATATGTCAATGCTATCCTTTCCTAGAACTTCTAGAAGAGAAGTGGTTCTTGTCTTATAAAACATCATAAATCATAAGTTTCATCAGAGGAAATTCAAGTTATTTGATCATTATCTAAAAACAAAACTCTGGAAGGTCTCAAAATTTCAAATATATATGCATATTCCCTAAACACATATATATTCCATAAGTACATATAATATAATGACAAATGTAATATAAAAATAAATAATAAATATAAAACCATGTAAAACATATTTCCTAAGACAGATTTTTTTTTTTAGAGAAAGAAGGAAGGGAGATTCACACTGACGTGAGAGAGAAACGACGTTGCCTCTTGTGCATGCCCACAACCCAGGAATGTGCCTTGACCAGGAGTTGAACTGGAGACCCTTTGCTTTGACGAATGAAACCCAACCCACTGAGCCGCACCAGTCAAGGGCCCTAATACAGATTCTTAACCTAGAGTGTAGGTATGTGAATCCTCTGGAATTACACGCAAAATCTGCCTGCACGTGCCTGTCCTTGTTTGGGGAGAAGTCTGCCGCTATTGACAGTTCTCAAAGGGATCAATGACAGACAGATAAAGCGCTCCTAAACACTGTGTGCAGAGCAAACAGGAAAGCCCATTTCAAGAAGAACCTGCAAGACTAAGACCTCATGCATACAAGGCAGAGTACATCACATAGGTAGAGATGATGAATTAATGGCCACTGCACTCATCCTGCACATCTCCACCCCAAGGCGCTGCCGCCATCAACGATACCTGCCCTGCTGCGCATCCTGAAACTACTGGAAACTAACTTTTCTGCTTCGACAACTCAGCTTGTGGTCTTAACATAGTAGATGTTCAGTAACTATGGCTACTTGACAAGAAATTTCATTTTTCCTGTGGGTTTAAGAAAAGGGGGGAATGTTACAATTTCCTTCATTATTTCAGTATATAAAAACAAAGTGAAGTGGAGGGTCATCTCAGAATATAAAGAAAACTCCTTAGACTTCATTAACAAAGTTAACATGGTTTGTTCCCCCAGTCACTTCCATCTCCGTCTAAGCCATTAGTCTTCCAACCACCACCTCATTTTTGAAGCGTGGCCTTGTAACAGAACTTAATTTGCATAGTCAGTAGACAGGTGAACTATAAATACGCATTGTGACTTTTATTTGCCGCAGACTCAAAACATTACGTTTGGAGAATGGTACATCAGTCATGTTTCCTACCATGCTCTTTCTATCAGAAAGAGATCTTGGAATGGCTGGGCTACTCCTCACTGTATTGCCAAAGGTCACAAACGCAAGTGAAGTCGCCAAGACCCTCTCTCCCTACAGACACTCCTTGGCGTGCACTCTGAGTCACCAAAATTGGGTTGATCATCCTAACCCGTCACTTCAGAAAGCCCGTTAACTCGAGACCATCAGACTGTATGAATGTGTGTGCTGGGGTGGGGGTCGGTGGTATTGGGGGCGGGGTAGGAGTTTAAAGCGTAGGCAGGGTTAACAGGTCACATAAAAAGGTCTGAGATGCCCAGCATCAGGTATGGAGTCAGCTGCCCCCACCACACACATCCTGTTCTGAGGCTTTTCCATCTCACCTTTTTCTTTTTTTCTTCAAGACTGCCTTTAACCTCCACGTTTGTTATTCTTTTTTTAATACAATTGTTTTAAGATTTTATTTATATATTTTTTAGAGAAGGGAAGGGAGAGAGAGAAACGACAATGAGTGGTTGCCTCTCACGCGCCCCCTACTGGAAACCTGGCCCACAACCCAGGCATGTGCAACGGGCGACCCTTTGATCCGCAGGCCTGCACTCGACCACTGGGCCACACCAGCCAGGGCCGTTTATAATTCTTGAATGAGGCTGGGGTGCGCCGAGGGCCAACAGCGAGGTGGGGTCACCAGAGAACCCAGCTGTGCACCACGCCTCGCCGCCCAGCCTCCAGGCGCTCTCTCCGCGCAGTTCCTCCTCCATCCAGCAGAGCGGCAGCAAGGCCCCAGCCACCCTCCCGGCTGGACCACGCCTCGTCCTTCTAGGAGGGGACGAGCCCTCGCTACCTTTACCACAGCCCCACCCCACGAGCCCCGCCTGGCGTCCCGTTTCCATTCGCCCTTGCTAGAACCTTCGCCGCCCGCCTTTCCATTTCTACAGCACCGGCAGCAGAGGTTCGGCTGAAGACCCCTCAGAGGGGGTCTCAACCGACCGCTGCCCGGTTCAACCGAACAGCCCGCCGTGGAGCAGCTTCACAGACCCCGCCTTGCTGCGGGAGGCGGGCTGTGCGTGCGCAGCTCCCAAGGCCCCGCCCACTCTCCCGAGTTCCGATCCGAATGTGGGCCGCGCGCGTGGGTCTCTCCTGGGCAAAGCGCCTGCGGCCTCGCCAGCACACAGCGCCAGAGCAGCCCCTCGCCGCCTGGCCCGGCCCCCACCCTGATTGAAATCCGACCCCCACCTACCGTGAGCGGTGCGACAGCTCCCACCCTCCCCGCAGCAGGCCTGCGGGCCCTTGCAAGCTGAAAAGCCTAGAGTAGGCACGTTCCGTTCGCCACAACGGGGAGGCGGGGCCTTGGGACACAGGGGCGGAGCCAGGGTCTGACTCCAGCGGGAAGTCTGGGCCCACTGAGCTGATTAAACGAGCACTCTTAGCTGCAGGCCCACCGTAGTCTAACTGCTAGAGAGGCAAGGTGACCAACTGGTAGAGAGGTGGAGAGGTAGCGGGACTGGCCGAGTGGGAAGAATGCAGGGTGAGGTGCAGGAGAGGGGATCCCTGTATTTGGGCTTGTCAATAAATGCCACTTCCCCTCCCTCCCGCACCTGTCCAACCTCTTTGATATACATAGAGAGAGGGCTGAGCTTCACTAGATTATCTCTCTGGTCTTCTCCAACTCTTTAAGCGTAGGGTCTCCGAAGCATAAATCCCACCCTCTCTCGTCCTTTACCTCCTTGCTTGTCTGCATCCATTCCCATAATTACGCTTCATCGCCCCTGAGAAGCTTGAAATCCCTCATCTTGTACTTTGTACTCTTGAGCTGGATACCTGAGCCTGGAAAATTCTTCTTGTGCAGTTTCCGCATCCAAAAATCTTCCTCTTGCTAAAGCCAGCCTCAGTGCTGCTTCTCTCAGAAGGCCTTTCCCCCTGTCCCCAGTCAGAACTAATTGTTTCTTTCTCTTTGCTCCAAAGCATTGTTCTAGTCTTTATTACAGGCTGCCTTCTGCTTTGGGTTTTAGTTAGTAATTACGTAAGTCTGTTTAAACCGTAAGTGTCTCGAGAGGGCAGGGACCCTACCCTGTCTTATCTGTACCTGTAGTTCCAGGACCTTGCTCATGGGAAGGGCTCAATAAATATTTATTTTTTAAAATACTTTATTTATTTTCAGAGAAAGGGGAAGGGAGGGAGAAAGAGAGGGAGAGAAACACCGATGTTTGAGAGAAACATCAGTTGGTTGCCTCTCCCACACCTCCAACCAAGGACCTGGCTTGCAACCTAGGCATGTGCCTTGACTGGGAATTCAACCATCAACCCTTTGGTTCGCAGGCCAGTGCTCAATCCACTGAGCCACACCAGCCAGTACTTAATAAATGTTTAAGTGAATGCAGGAGTTCAAGTATAGGTAGTTTACAAGCAAAATCTCATTTAATCATTCAGGGCCCCTGTTCTGGAACAGTTATGTTTGATTAAGAGAAGGCACACTTCCTGGGAAACAAAACCTTATGTCAGCCCATTCTTCTCTCTCTCTCTCTTTCCTTTGTCTCTCTCTCTCTCAGAAAGTAGAGTCTGGGAGCCAACTCTTCAGCAAGCTGAAAGATAGAGCTAATCTAACCATAGCAGAAGTATGAGTCATGGAGTTAGTGAGATCTAAGTTCTCTGCTAGACCTGGGGCACTGCTCCCCAAAACCAGGCAACATTTCAGCTGTCTCTCCTGGCTCAGCAGACCCTCCTTCATCATTCCAAGGTTCTTCAGGCAGTGGGCAGAGGCAACGGATGGGCTGGGGGATGCAGGGACACAAGTTTTGGAGGGGGGCAGGAAGCTCATACTCTTCAGTGGCCTTCTGCTTGGACTTCTGAGGCATCTGAGCCTCATGGGCAGCAAAAGAGGATGGCAGCCCTTGACCTAGGCCTCGCTCAAGCCGTGTGCCTGCAAAACAGAGGTTGGTCAGGATATTGCCCAACCCAGGGAGTGATGACTTCCCGGCCACTCCCCAGTCTGCTAGGGCCTGTCCATAACTTACCAGAGATGGTGTTCTCCAGGAGGAAACCCAAGAATCCCCCCAGGAAGATGGGCTCTGTGAGCAGTGAGTGAAGCAGCACATCCAAGGGACTCCAGCCTACGGGATGTTGGGACCAGTCAGGAGGGGAACCCTGATCTTACTGATTGCAAGGCCAAGGAGTCTTATACTTCCAGACCTAAATCTAAGTCTTGGACTAAGAGCAGATCTTTCTGAATTGTCATTCTATCCCCTTTGTCCTTTGCCTCTCTGCTCCATTTCCCACACCCAGGCCCTTCCCACAGGGTCTCTGCTCAACACCCTGTCTTCTGAGCACCCACATGCTCTCCGATACACTCGTGATAGTTTCAGGCTCCCTGTCTCTGGAAAGTTTTGTATTAAAAATCCCCAACCTTATTTCCCACTTACCTTCTGTGCTCCAGCCTGGGTTTCTCAACTTTAGTACTACTAATAATTTACACCAGATAATTCTTGGGGGTGGGGGGGGGCAAGGGGCACTGTCCTGTGCATTGTAGTATATTTAGCAGCACCCCTCTACCAATTACATGCCAGTAACAATCCTTTCTCCCATTTGTAACAGCTAAAGATGCCCTCAGACATTGCCAGAATCATCCTCAGTTGAGAACTACTGTCACTTGCTAAGCTGAACTAGCAAACAAAGCTATTTGAATGACTTTTTCACCAAATGCATTTAAATCTTACCATCCTTCAAGACCAGCTCAAGGTTACTTTCTCCATAAAATTTACCTGGATTATCTCAAACCTCAAGCCAGCTGTCTCTCTCATCACTGAGCAGCACAGCTCTTTATCTAAGCCTGTCCTGCTATGTGCCTACACTTCTACTTTTTTACTGGACTAACATCTGGAGGTACCTTTACCTTCATATCCCATGGAACTTGCATGGTGCTCAATAATTATTGGCTAAACAAATTGGTGAACTGCTTATACCAAACCCTGGAGAAGGGTGTGGGTATAGCGCAGAGAGCCCAAAGCCTCAAGCTCTTGGTTTCATGACACTGAACAAAACCCTTCTTTCATCCTCCTCCTCCCACCTGTGCTCAGCAGGTCAGGAGCTCCCCGAAGCCACCTTGGCATCAGCAGGGCCATGAAGATGGAGAAGCCAACAATGAAAACGTTCCGCCCAGAATCAATGTCAGCCAGGTGGAAGCTGGAGAATCCAGTAGCCAGAACCACTGCCTGGGTCACACCCAGTATGCCACCTGTCTCATGGGAAAGTAATCAAAGGGGTTGAGAGAGAGCCAGCACAGCAGGGAGTGTTGCAGGGTGAGGCAGGTTGGGATGGAGAGAGATGACCAAAAGGCTCATTTCTAATTCTGCCAAAAGCCCAGAAGCCCCGTCAAAGGCTTCTGTTGGGCTGAGAAAATAAAGGCTGCTGACATACATATCCATGTATCAGGAGGCTATTCAGAAAGAAAGGGTGCCATCCACAAGCAACCGGTGGGCCACACTGGGGTTACTGGGTCAATGCCAATGCTGCTGGAACACCCACTCACCAAGAACAGGCAGCGGGATGGTGGCGAGGAGCTGGGTCAGCTTTGGGGAGAGCCCAAGCCCCACGCAGAACAGCCCCACCAAATAGGCCACTCGCTGAGATCCAGCCTACATGAAGAAGAGACACTAGAAAACAGCCATCTCCTTGACTATTTGAGGTGTTTTCTTGGTGGCCCCTTCTCACCATCTGGATCCCAACTCAAACGTTAGTTACCCTTCCAAGAGGTATTGCCAAGCTCTCTACCCAAAGGGGCCTCCTTTACTCAACCACTATCCTACTAACTACCCTGCTTTGTTTTCTTAATAGTGCTTTTATCACTCTGGGATATTACCTTATTTATGGTTTTTTTTTTTTAATTGTCTGCCTTTCCCTCTCTGAAGTCCACCAGAAAGCAGGACTTTATCTGACTCATTCTTCACAGGAGCCCCAGCCCTGGTACAGGGCCTGAGGCACAGAAGGAGTTCAATATTGACTGGGTGTCTTCCTTAAACCCCTAACCTCTTACTTCTAGGCACCTCTCTAAAGGAGGTCATGAATGTGACCTGCCTAACAGTGTAGCCCGCAGTTCTCCAACAGTCAGTGCAAGTTGCCTCCCCTCTCCAGCACCCCCAGCATTCCCATCCCCAGTCCCGTCCACATACCTGGAAAAGACTCACTGTGCCCACATTGGGGAAGCTGGATGCAGTACCCATGGGGCTCCCCAACAGCCCTGCCAGCACACTTCCCAGGCCCTCCAGGCTCAGCCCCCGACTGCAGGCGTGTGGAGGTGGAGAAGGCAAATGCAGCAGCCGGCCACACAGGGCATAGCAGCCCAGGGAGCTGATGGAGGCTGCCAAGGCCATGGAGATGCCTGCAGCCAAAGCCCGGGGCGTCAGCATGGGCCAGACCCACTCCACTGAAGAGACAGGAAGAATCACTTTGGGGTAAGACTCACGTTTGGAGCACCCCCCTGCCTCCAGAGGCCTGTGCTACAAGAATCCTAGAGGCCACATTGCCCTTGAAGGTGTCTTGGGACAAAACCATCCAACTCTTAGGATAAAGACCATCCCTTTACCATAGTCTACAAGGTCCCCCTTGGTCTGATCCCTGTTTAAGACCCTTGTGTTTGCTGTGCTGCCGGCCACCACAGGGCTTGTACATATGCTGTTCTTTCCACCTAGAATGCTCTTGTCCTTCACCAGTTAACTCCTACTCATTTCTCAGATCTCAGCTCAAAGATCACTCCCTCAAGAATACCATTCCTGCCCTGACTGGTGTGGCTCAGGTGGTTGGGTGTCATCCAGCAGACCGAAATTGCTGGTTCGGTTCCGGTCAGGGCACATGCCTGGGTTGTAGGCCAGGTCCCTGGTTAGGGGCATGCAAGAGACAACCAATCAATGTTCCCCTTGCGTATTGCTGTTTTTCTCCCTCCCTTTCCTTCCCTTTACTTATTCTAAAAATAAATAAATAAAATCTTCAAAAAATAAAAAAACCTTTCCTGACCTCTCTGATAAAGCCAGACTCCCCATTGTAAACTCTCATCACACAATGCACCTACCCTTTGTTATACTTACCACATGTAATTTTGCATTTACTTGGGTGCCTATTTAATGAGTACCCGTATTACCCAACAGATTATAAGTTTCATGAACACAGGTGCTACACCTTTCACGTTTGTCACTGTCCCCTATCAAGTACCTAGCACTTAATGAGCATTCAACAGACCTTTATTAAATTGATGAATGTGCAAATTTCAGGTACAGTGCTTGAAAAGCAATTTTTAAGTATTTGTTTATTTTTAGAGAGAGGAAAAGGAAGGGAGAAAGAGAGGGAGAGAAGCATCAGTGTGTGGTTGCCTCTCTCGCACCCCTTACTGGGTATCTGGCCTGCAACCCAGGCATGTGGCCTGACCAGGAACCAAACCAGCGACCCCCTTTGATTTGCAGGCCAGCACTCAACTACTAAGCCACATGAGCCAGGACTCAAAAGCAATTCTTTTTTAATACAGAGCTCACTAACTCGAATGCCTGTGGGGTAAGTAGCATAAATGTAACGTGTAAATTGGGTAAGGACTATCCGCAGGGAATGGTAGGGTTTGCAGATCTCTCAAACACTAAATAAAACATCTGTGGTGAGGGGCTGGCATTGCACCTGAGAATAGCAAGTTCCCTCCCCTGTGTGTTTTGAGAAAACTCAGGTTTAACTCAGACATAAAATTCATTAAATCTTGAGTTGAATGAAACAGACACCTTTATTTCAGTAAGAAGATGGAAGACTAGGAGCACACGTACCTGGGTGAGGCAGCCAAAACCACAGTGCCTCACTGGGGGCAGACAGCTCTGGGTCTGCCCTGAGACCCAGCAGGGCAGAGAGGACCCACACACAGGCCACTGGGACCAGCACCTGAGGGACAAGAAGGAGATGGAAAAGAACCCCTCCCCCAGATTCTTTCAGGCCACAGATAGAGTAGGCGGTTGAGCAAGTGTTCCATCCCAGACCTTCTCATCTTGACTGCCCCTCCCAGACCCCCACATACCGAGAGGAGCCGGAAGGCAGGCATGCAAGTACAAGTTGGAGAGGTTGAAGCTGGCCTCCAGGGGCATGGGGGTAACTGGCAGGAGCCCAGGTGCTGAGAACAGACCACCATGAGCAAAATAAGCCTAAGAGAGAGAAGGAGATTGAGAAGCAAGAGGAAATAGACATCCTGAGGCAGGTACTGGAGGTAGAAGAGGCAGAATACTATAAAAGGGGTCCCTGAGAAGAAAGCCCCTATGGACAGAGAAAGAGGACACCTTGGGGGTCAGCAAGAGACAACATGAAAGCCAAAGAGACCAGCTGAATCCAACAAAAGCCCTGGATTCCAAACCCCGCAAGCTATGCCTGCTCAGACAGTCTGGTAGAGTCAGCAGCTCTGCCCTCCCCAGCCCTGCACACCCCCACTGGTCACCACCCCATGCCTCTCAGGACTTACGTACAGCAAGGCCAGCCCCCAGTGACTGGAGCAGAACAAGGCCACCTCCCTGTGAGCAGACAGCCCTGCCACAACCAGGCTGGGGGCCAACACCAGGGGTCCACAGTGGCGGAACAAGTGGCCAGGAACCCCTAATAGTCCCAGAGTGCCCTGCAGCAGCCCAGACACCACCACTGCCCCAGACACCTAATGGAGTAGAGGAGAAGGCGAAGAGAAAACATTTGGCTCGACTGAGTTGACCTCGGCCTGGACTTCCTAATTAACCCAGGGGCGGTCAAGTGGGTACCTCACCCAGACCCGTCCCCACCTCCTTCCCCCAGAGAAGGTCAGTCTCTGCATAATAGAAACCAGAGCCTTCCCAATCCCCAAGTACTTACCTCTCGGAGGGAATCATTCCAGAGCTCCAGGCTGTGGCAGTCAGGCCTCTCACACGGGTGCAGTGTGCCAGAAGCTAGAAAATTGGGGGCACAGAGAGGAGAGAGGTAAAGGGAATGGAGACCCATTACTGTGCAGTCCTAGCTGGCGCCCGGCACAGCTCCAAGACCCCAGAGTGCCTACCACTCCTACCCTTGTCCATTCTCAATCCTGCACCTACCTATACCTGCATTCTCAGATTAGCACCCAACCCACCCTCAGCCCATGCTCTTGTCCTATACTCACAGTTTCCAGGTGTCTGGATGGCTAGAGGCAGCTTCTGGTTAACCAGCACAAGAGCAGGGGCAAGGAACTCAAAGGATGGAACCTGGACAAGAGGCAGCCTGTAGGAATAGCAGCAGCCCTGGCAGGTCTGGAAACAGGTGGCAGCCAAAAGGACTTCCCGAGCCCCTCCTATCCCACCCTGGGACTCTGCTCTCCCTCTAGGGAGTCCCCCTTACCTGCTGCCCATCCAAGTTTGCAGGGCGGTAGACACACCACACGAAAAGAAGCTGGAGGCCAGCAGGTGGGCAGGGGAGTAAGAGAGTATTCCTGGGGGGAGACTTCGAAGCAGGAGCAGGTGGGAGGCACAGAGCGCAGAAGCAAGAACCAAGAAATGCTGCAGGTGGAGGTATGGGAAGGGGCGGTCTTCAGGCAACGGAGGGAACACCTGTTTCTAGAGGGTTTCCCATGCCGCGTCTACTCCCCAAAACACCCTCACCGGCCAGCACCAACTCCTGCACGGCCGCCTCCTACCTGCAGAGCCAGAAGACAGCTGAGGCCCCAGGGAAGAGGCCCACGTAGAGAAGCCCGAGAGTGGGAAGAGGGATTTTGGACAGCAGGCTGCAGCGGCCGGGGAGCCAAGGCTTCCTGGGGGCCCAGAGATGGGAGCTGGATGGGACGGGACTGTGATCGGCTCATTCTGTCCTGTCTTTCATCTTGTGCTGACTGCCCTGGGCCAGAGTTAAGTAGTTTGGCTGAAGTTAGCTCCTTAGAGTGGGGAGACAGCAGGGGTGTGGGTGAAGCAGAGTGAAGAAATGAGAGACCCAGGGCAGGACACGGCCTACTCACCTTTGCCCAGCTCTTGTGCAAATTCCATCACCCATTAACCGGAGCCATGTTCTGGAGCCCTCCCCCCAAACTCTCCATCCAACTCCCCCCCCCGTTCCAGGCTCTGTAAAGCAGGATAGGAGGGGTGGGAAGATTTTAGATTGTATCCCCCCGCTCACCACTGTAATTTGGAACCATCGCTGCACTGCGGTCCTCTACCCTTTCAGGGTCAAACCCCCTGGACTCCCTCCAAAGGAAGTGCACAGGTAATGGGTGGCATGCAGACCATGGTGACCACAACTTTACGATGCCCTCGCTGATATGAAGGCGAAATACAAGTAATCGATAAAAGGTGTTTCATTATGTGAAAGCTTGGGCCCAGCTAAACCAGAAGACAACAAAGTGATCCAGCTCCCACCCTATATGTAGAATTTTCATGAACGTAGTCGCTCCGCTGCCAATTGGCGCTTCCCGACAGGCAGTGCTGCCATTGGTGACCTGATGCTTCAAAACAATGAACAAGTTCATGGTCAAGCGTTGAAGCAAAGTTAGTTTTAATTTACATGGATGTGCATTCCTGGAAATCAGACTTTTTCAAATTGTACAAAAAGGACTTTGTGTTTACATGTGAAGTCGGATAGTTCTAGGCTCAAATATAAAGGTTTCCCTATGCACGACGTGCAGCTGGTCATTCCAAAGTCATCTTGGGAACTCTTCCTAATAAAAGGGGTCTTGAGCATTGCAGAGTGTCTAGCATTCTGCCGTGGCTAAATACGAGTAGCATATCTTCAAATATTTGCCTCAAAAATGCCCCCCTGGCAGGCAGGTAGTACACCCCAGCTATGGATAATCTGAAGTAGTCTTAAATACCCTCAGTTCAGCTCAGAGAGGTTTTCCTTCTTCCAATAACCCAGCCTCGGACTGCTCTTAATGACTACCACCACGTGCTGGACAGGGCTGGATTTAGGGTTCAGGGGTTGGGGCTTGCCCTCGAACTGGCAGGGATCTGCTGCATACTTGACTTGGCCTCTCTCCCCAAATGTGCTTCAGGATCTGTAAGAGTGGCGCTCACCCAGAACTTAAGATGGATAGGGCCAACCCCAGGCACAGTGGTCACCACCCACACCCCACAGCAACCAAGCGGAGCCGTGCCAGTGACCCCTGGGTGCTGGGAACGGGGAGGCAGGGAGGTTCTTCCGAAATGGGGCGGAGAGAGAGTTGCAGGATGACGGAGTCAGGGAGCAGGGAGGCTCAGAAGGCAGATGTGGGGGAGGAAGTTCTGCCAAGGGCTGCCAGAGAAGGAGTCCAGGCCATGCAACTGAAACTGTTTATTGAAACCCCAGTTCTACAAAAGCGTGGAAAAACCCAGATACAAAGCGGTGGCCAGAGAGGCCTGTGAGAACACCCAGAAGAGGAACCGGAAGAAATGGAAGCCCAGGAGCAGAGTACTAAAAAGAAAAGGTGGGAAGACCAAAGGGCAAGGTTGAAGGTCCCGGCAGTCCTGGCTCCTCTGGACTATCCCCAAGGGGCGGGTGTGGATCGGGTTCCCACCTCACCGGCCTTCGCTCGGAAGCTCTCCCCTTGGCCCTATCAGTCCCTGGCTCTCTTGCTTCAGAGACATCACACAGAGCCTGGTCAGCATTCCCTCCCTCCCCCACTTCTCATCTCCCACCTTTACCCTTCCATCCCAGGGAACTAAAAGGCTAGTCTAAAAAGAGTCTAGCGGTAAGGAGACAAGGGCTTCTCTGTCCATCTGTGGCATGCCCCTGGTCACTGAACTGAGGCTTTCTGTGGCACCACCACTGCTTGCCCAAGCAGCCAGCCGCTTAAGCCTAAAAGAGCAAGTGACCTGTAGGCCTTCTGCCCCATCACCCCTTAAGCTCCCTCACCCAGAATAACGGGACCAGCCAAGGACCCAGAGAGGTAGAGAGAATCTAACTCAAGCATTCTTCCTCCAGGACTCCCAAGTCCTCACCAGGAATTCCTCAGAACCCTACCTAGCCTGGGAAAATGAAAGACTTAAGGCGGGCCAGCTCCATGATGCCAAAAAGGGAACACTCCTGGGGCTGTGGGAGCAAGGAGGGCATGGGGCTCCAGGCCCAGGGTGGAGCTGGGCCATAGGAGTGGTACCAGGGACTTGGGGGTCCTGTGGGCACCGTATGGTTGGGATGGTGGCAGGCACGACAAGTTGGCAAGTCTTTCTGGAGCTTCTGGCAAAGGGGACAGTTATGGAGAAGAGTGGGAGGGGCAGGAGGGTCTGGGGGAGGCAACGGTGGGGGGGTCAATGAGGCCAGAAGACTGTCCCAGAGTGAATGTAGCCTTATGTCGCTTTCCAGGCAGCTGGAGACATTGCCAGGAGATGGCAGGCACTGTGGCACAGGAGAAGGTATGCAGGGTTCCAAGAGGCACCTGGAGGCCAGTCCAAGGTCCGGGGGGCCAGGTGGAGGACTGCAGGACAGTCCCAAGGACTGGTATATTACAGCCACTGATGCCACAGCCAGGGCCACACTGCTCACATATGCTATCGCTAATAGGCAGGACAGCTGCAGGAGAGAGGATAAGAAAGGTCAGTGCCAAATACCCTTTCCTTAAAACGTGCTTCTGACCGTTTTAAACATACCCATCCCTTATCTCCAGAAGTTCAAGTTAGAGTTCACTGTTACCATCTACTCCCAGACCCTTCTCTTGAGCCTTTCAGGATTTGCTTTACATCATACCACCCATATACCAGCCCACTCAAGTGTCCTATGCTTCCTGACACCTCTTCACCTTTGCCAGTTGATGGCAGAGGGAGCCCAGGGCCAGCTGCCAGGCTGGCTGCTCCAGCAGCACACACAGGTCTGTATAGGTGTACCAGCCCCGTCGCCGTCCCTGATGCTCAGCCACACTGTTGGGAGGAGAGAAAAAACAGAGCATCCACAACTCTCCCGCAGCCGACCCCAGTGCACCCTCATTCTCCCCAGGACCCACCAGGGGACACTGGGGAACATGCTAAAAGTACAGATTGCTAGGCTGCGGGTTGATCCAGAAACTGAGGGTGAGACCAAGATCTGTATTTCTGATGAGCTTCCCAAAGGTGACTGATTACAAAGAAGGCGGGCAGGTTTGAGGAGCACTGCCCTGAACAATTCTCTTTCCTGTCTCCTCCCTCCCTCCAGTTACAGACCCTCATCTCAGTCTAGCTCTTCCAGCTTAGGTCTCAGCCCTTAAGCCCCTCCCCCCAACTCCTAGAACCTACCAGCTCTCTAACCAGCTCAGCACCTCAAAGATCTCCCGAGGGTCAGTGTAGAGACGCCAATCCTGTGGGTACGAAGAGAAGGGCACCAAACCATGCTCAGACGTGAGCCACAGTTTTCAATAACCAGAGCTGCAACAGCACTGCAACCACCACTATGGGTACCACTTAGTTGGTGGTATGTGCCAAGTACTCTTCCAAGAACTTTTATATATTAACTCATTTAATCATCGTGTATCTGGAGTCACATCACACCCCCCATTAAGAGCACAGGGAGAGAATAATCCTGCAACAGTTCATGCCCATACGGGGCTTAGAGGGAGCTCAGAGTCTAAGAGTAGAGAAAGTCTGGAAGCAAATAATCAGAACCCAGTTAGGTAAGCTCTGACTCAGAGTGCACCCTTGCTGGGCCTGGAGGAATGGGGAAGTGTGGATGCCCCATTTCTGGGCTCACCACATCAGGAACATCTAAGGGCTGTAGTTAGTCCAGACTAGACAGGAAAGATACTAATAAGGAAAGACACAAGGAGGACAGGCAGAAAGAAATGAAGAAAGAGAAAACTGAGAGGTAAAAGGCAAGGGGTGACAGAAGCATAAAGCTGGGCCAGGGGAACAGAGCAAGAGAGGGAACAGCTAGCTACTCACCATGGCACTCAGGAAGCCCCTCTCCAGGGCATTGAGAGTGGGCACAGCCACACCCCCTGCAGCTCCCCATTCATCATTGAAGACCTCCTCCTCCTCCCCTTCATCGTAGAGGTACTTACTAGCCACCATCTGCAGAGGAACCAGAGATGGTGTCAACAGAACTGGGCCTGGGCTCCTAGGTCACCAGGGAAACAAAGGGGAGGGGGCGCCTTACCATAGAGATCAGGAACAAGTCAGAGGAGGACACATGCTGTAGGTAGTCAGGGTTTCGGTGCCGCAGCCGCTCAATGTACACCAGAGCTAGCATCATAGCACACGGGGAGATGCACGCCTCCCTGCGTGGCGGAAAGGATCGGTAATGAAACCCAAGGCCCTTTCAGCTCTTGTTAACTCTTCTAATGCTCATGCTGTGTCTCTATATCTTCTCTTTATGGATAACCCTTCCCTTTTTTCTAGGATCCAAACACTTGCATCCTGTCCCCCTCAATTCCAGGCTCACCGGGACACATGGGCTACGTATTTCTTCTGGAGACGGCGAATAGGGCTGGGGGCTGCCTTCTGGAGCAATTCCACAGCAATGTCTGCCGGGGCAGGAGACAGAGTAAGCAAACAATCCTGCCCCTCCCCACTCGTCCCACTGCTACCAGCAGAAGATCCAGACAGATCTCTATTATCTGAGGCCTTGGAGGCAGGACCAAGTAACAAGATAGAGATCAAATTCTCCCACAATGAGACAAAAAGCCCATCCCAAATCCGAACTTCAGTTCTTTCCAGCAGGAGCCTCATTTTCCATTCACCTGGAGTTACTTAAATTTGTCTTCTACTCTTGTTCATTTCAGAAATAAACATGCCTTGTTCATTTGGAAAACATGCTGGGTGTTCTTGGAATCTTAAAGAGTTTCTGGTATACAAATCAGAAGTGACATGGGTTTGTAAAATGGCAACGTTTTTTACTCGATTGGGCTAAAAAAAAAGTGAAATACAAACCCAGTCCTTACACCACCTTACCAAATAGCTAGCTACAAAAAGAGACACAGCGGCTCATGGGTTACACCTAGAGTCATTTTGGTGCCTGTCGACAACCCCATTTTCATGCTGCTTACTCGCTCAGTCGCACAACATTGTCTGACCTGCCATGGGGCTGGAGAGCTCCTCCAGGCTACAGTCAGTTTCCCAGTCCCAGCCATAGTAAAGTCTTCTCCGGATCCTCGAACTCAACTTCTGGTGTCCTGGGAGGAACTGAAACAGGGCAAGAGGGTGAAGGGCAGGGAAGGTATGATGGAGACCTTGGCTCGGGGCTAGAAGAGGGTGCGGGGCAGCAGGCCTGCCTCACTGCTCGTGGGTTGGGTGCCCCACCTAGCCCGTGTTCTCTGCATTGTTTACCAATGGCAGTCTGTCCAAAGGGGAAGGAATCCTCCCCCGCGGAAGGCTCCCCAAGTGAGGTTCTCCTAGAAAAGGCCTCGGCTGGCCACCTCTATCCCCAATCCTGTACCCGCGACTCTCCCCCGGGCCCAAGCAGCCGGGGCCTCAAGTAGGCACAGTTCGAGCCTCTACCTCCTAGCTCCCGGGCAGACTGTCAGAAGAGCTCGCGGCCCTGCTTGGCCCCTGAGATGAGCCCGGGGTCCCGGCTCCAAGTGCCGGGGGGCCGGGGCAGGGGTGAGCGGCGCGCTCACCGAAAAGTCCTGGAAGCCGGTGACGGAGAAGGTGCCTTCTTCGTCCAGCAGGAGCCCGGCCAGGTTCATTGCGCCGCCAGCCGCTGCCCTGCGAAGGTGGATGCGAAGAAAACGAGTTGTAAAGGGGCTGCCGAGCCGTCCCAGCCCGCAGGTCCACCTGCCCTCAGGCCTCCTCAGAGGGAGCCACCGCCCTTGCCAGCACCGCCCCTCCCCTCGCGCCCGGCGCAGCAGGCGGGGCCGTGCTGGAGGGCGCCTCTTCCTGTTCCGCCCCGGGCGGGGCTCGGACTCCCGGATCTGGGCTCGCGGCGTAGTGTGCGCAGGTGGGGGGTGCTCACCTCACGGAGTAGAGAGGAGAACTGGCTACAAGGTAGCGCGTACAGTGCTAGTGTCGCGCAGTGCTGCCCGGCGTCTGCCCGGCGTTTACAAGCCGCTGGGGTGTCGCGGGCGTCAGCGATCGGCATTTCCTGCCGCCCGCTGGTCCGAGCCGCCAGCTTCCTAAGGCCGGGAAGGAGCTGGGCTCCAAATCCTGGTAACACTGGGTCCGGGCAAGTCAAAGCTGAGCCCCAGCTTTCCCTCTCCCCATCTGAGAGGTGGGGACAATTCCTAGGGAATCATGCCGCACTGAAGGTGAACAAGCCCAGCTGACTTTTCGTACCAATGTAGATTTTAATGTGAAAGACTCAGGACCGCGAATTGCTCCGATTGTTTTAAAAAGAGGAGATACACATACAGAGCAATGTGCTTAAAAGGCGGCGAAAAGGATAAACAAGAAATCTAACAGTGTATGGGATGTGGGCAAGGAAGCAGGGAAACTTGCTGTATACCTTTTGGTGTAGTTTGTAATTTTAAACCTAAGTAAGTATGCATTTTGTAGGGTTATTGCAGAGGTTAAGTGGTTCAAAGGACTATAAAACGCCTGATACGTTTTAAACCTCAATAAATGGTGCTAGAATGTCCCCAAAGAGTAAACAGCACTTGAACTGGATTTTATTTTTAAATTCACCCCCTGGCCACAATCTCCTGCTTTGAGCAAGGGATTGGAAAGACCTCGGATACGTGGGGGCCGGAAAGTTTACAAAAGGAGACAGGACACCACTTTTCTGAGTAGGTGAAGCTGTTTTTGAGTCTGTCGGGTCACGCGCTGGGGTTTGTTTATCCGACTACAGGAGGAAACTGGGATGACCAGTACGCCGAGAGTCAAGTAATGGGACAGCCGCCGCCCTGCAAGAGCAGAAGCAGAACCCACAGAGGATACTGGGAATCTAGAAACCCCCTTCCTGCCACTTAGCTCCGTATCATACTGGGGATACCAGGCCGGCACCAGACTCCCTAACCGCCCTGCATACACAGGAAGAGGAAAAGGGGCTGGGGCAGGGAAACACCGAGACACAGTCCCCGCGTCCGGAAGAGACAGACACAACTCCAGCTGCGATCACGACTGTAGCAGCCGAAACACACCTGCGTAGAAACCAGAATCGCCAGTAGCACTTGTGCGCAGGCGTGGACCTCCCCATCCGGGCGGTTTGGGCACATCACGTGACCGACTCGTCGTTCCGCCATCACGTGTTGCCCACGGCTGCCTCGGCGGCGCTCTCCTTGGCTTGCGCCCCCTTCCGCCTGACGCGCCCCCAGCGGCGGCCGCGCAGCCCTGGCTCCTCGAGGGCTCGGGCGGCGGCTGCGGCGGGGCTATGGCGAGCGGCGGTGGTGGGGGTAACACCGGCGCGGGAGGGGGTCCAGGGCTGGGCCTGAGCCCTGGCCTGGGTCTGAGCCTAGGCATGGGCGAGGCCACCAGCGAGGCGGAGGAGGAGGCAGCCACGGCGGAGGCGGTGGGACGCCTGGCGAAGACGCTGTGGCTGCGGCTCCGCGGCTGGGAGGCAGTGTTGGTAGCCGCGCAGCGGCTGCTGGTCTGGGAGAAGCCGCTGCACAGCCTGATCACTGCGGCCGCGCTCAACGGCCTCTTCTGGTAACGGCCGCGGAGGAAGGGGGCGGGGCCGTGTGCGCGGCGAGAGCAGGGGCGGGAGGGGTCGGGGTACCCTTCCCCGTTCCTGGGTTGACACTGGCCCTGGGGAATGATCCATCCCCCGGACTTTAAAGACGGTTTTCCCCTGAGTTACCCCACTACTCTGACTTGGGGTCTCGAGTTAGGCCCATTCCCGTATCAGTGGGCACTTTTTCCGCCCTTTGCGATGGCTGCGGGAGCCACTCTTCACCCATTCACCGCTGAGATGCCTGTCTCTCCCGAAGGTTGCTGTCTTCATCGTCTCTCCGGCCCATCTTCCTCCTCAGCATCTCACTTTTGGCCTATTTTCTGCTGGATCTCTGGCACCCTCGCCTCCTCCCTGACATCGCAGGTGAGCGTTAACTTCTTTCACTTAGCTGTCTCCATTGTGCACTTGTTTTGTGGCTGGCTCCGCGATCGATCGATTGAAAGGGGAGGGCAATGGCCACCTGCCTCTCAGTCATCAGCACTGCCCCAGGTAGGAAACCGAGAATTGCTCCTTTCTCAAAATTGGCGTTACCGCGAAGGTGGTAGTTAAGATTGTGGACTCTGCAGCCAGATTGCCTGGGTGCCATTGTCTGCTCAGCCATTTATCATGTGTGTGATCTTGTAGTAAAAGCCACTCAATCTGTTTGCGTCGGTTTCCTCATCTGTAAAACAGGGAGGATAGAATTTACTTCATCAGGAGGCCGAGATTAAGTGAGTTGATACATGTTTTATGCTTATGGTAGAGCATCACATGTGATAGGAATTATGTAAATATTAGCTCTTATCGTTTTGTTGTTGTTTGTGTATTTACTTAGTGGGCATTTTGAAACAACTAGGGGCCAGGCTGTGTGCAAGTTGCTTGGGATGTAAGCATGAATAAGATGTAGTTCCTGTGTTTGAAAAGGGTAAATTCTAAAAAAAGGAGACACGTGCAAACAACACAACATAATGCTCCCTGCAGCTGGCATCTGAAGAAAGTCCTTTGGGACTGCAGAAGAGGAGCAGCTATGTCTGCCTTGGGGAGTGTCTCCCAAAGCCCCTACCACTCAGTAACTTCTCCCCCTCCTCTTTCTATAGCATCATCCCCAGAGGAGCCAAACTCTGACAGGTGAGTGAAGGCCACCTCTTGATCTTGAAGACAAATGCCCAAATCCTATCTTGCTTTCGTGCCTGTGTCACCATGGTGCGGGACAGCAGTGCAGCTTCTGTAAGCACAGGCCCCAGCATAGTGAGTGGACTGATGAGTAGTTTGGTTCTAGGTTCCCATGTAGGTGGTTATGTGCTTGCTCCTTTTGGGGCACAGGGTTGGGTTTTGCTTCCCTGGACCAGGACAGCCTCCTTTTGGGAGGTAGGGTTATCCATTTTCTTAGACTGAGGAGCTCATTGGCATTCTCAGAGGGATTTGAGTGCTTAGGAAGCTGGTGTCTGAGGCCTCCAGGGGTCATGTCATGTCTCTCCAGTGAGGGTGCGGGGTCAGGCGCCCGGCCGCACCTGCTGAGTGTGCCCGAGTTGTGCAGATACCTGGCTGAGAGCTGGCTCACCTTCCAGATTCACCTGCAGGAGCTGCTGCAGTACAAGAGGCAAAATCCAGCTCAGGTAACCTTCCCCATGACATATAACCGTTCCCTGTACTGTGGGGAAAAAGAGGTGGGGGTGGGGAGGAGTGTTTGGACACCGAAGGGAGAGACCTGGCGCCTACTCAAGGCATCATTCACAGCCTGGTTTGGGAGGCAGTGTCGCCTCAGAATGAGCTGGTGTTCTGACACTGTTTCCTGCTAAGGCAGAACAGTTTGAATTATAGGTGTTTGGGGGTCTATTGCAAACTCCTGTACTGGTGGTCTCGGGCATCGTCTTGACTAGACCGGAACACTGCAGTCCTAGAGGGCACACCCCTGCCTTCACCAGCAAGCAGTAATGTCCGACTCGAATGAGTGGGTGCATACCTCAGCCTGAGCACTTAGACCCTGTGCTCTTCTCTGCAGTTCTGTGCTCGAGTCTGCTCCGGCTGTGCTGTGTTGGCTGTGCTGGGACACTATGTTCCGGGGATTATGATTTCCTACATTGTCTGTGAGTAGGGGCTAACCCTGCCCTTTCCAAAGCCCTCTTCTTGTTTTCTTTCCCCGGAGTGATCTAAAAGGAGGACTGCTCTCTCTCTGTTTGGTTCCCCATTTACAGAGGTCCCCAGGGGACGAGGGCAGAGGATATGGAGGGAAGAGGTTGATGTGATCTCAGGAAAGGACCCCTTTTTTTCCCAACCCTTTTTGTTTAGGGACCAGTTGAGTAAGGGCCCTTAGGAAATAAGCATAGGGAGCTCTGAGCGGATGTTCTATTCCCTAGTGCTAAGTATCCTGCTGTGGCCCCTGGTGGTTTACCATGAGCTGATCCAGAGGATGTACACTCGCCTCGAGCCCCTGCTCATGCAGCTGGACTACAGCATGAAGGCAGAAGCTGACACCCTGCATCACAAACACGACAAGAGGAGTAAGGGGCTTCCAGGGGCGGGGGACACCCTGGAATCTAGATGCTCTCCAGTCCCTTGGCCATGGTTGTCCCCCACTGCTGTCCCTGCTTGGTGAGTACCCTGCTCCTCTTGTTTCTCTAGAGCGGCAAGGGAAGAACGCACCCTCCGGAAGTGACGAGCCACTGGCAGAGACAGAGAGTGAAAGCGAGGCAGAACTGGCTGGCTTCTCCCCGGTGGTGAGAGTCAAGGGAGCTGGGGTGTCAAGTAGAAGGTGGGGAGAATCTCTGCGTTAGGGCAGACACCTTTCAAGGAGGTGGGAGTTGGTGGGGGGTGCCCTTGGAGAATTAGTTCTCGTATTCCCCCACCTGTCGTGTTCATCCTGGTTCTCCTGCAGGTGGATGTGAAGAAAACAGCACTGGCTTTGGCCATTACAGACTCAGAGCTATCAGATGAGGAGGCTTCTATCTTGGAAAGTGGCGGCTTCTCAGTATCCCGGGCCACAACTCCACAACTAACTGATGTCTCGGAGGGTATGGGAAGCCCCTTGCCTTTCCTCGTCTTCCTGCCCTGCTGTGAGATGCTGGCTGCCGCTCTCTGATTGTTGCCCCATAAATGTTTTGTTTGAGGAACTGATCCTCTAGTTATACTCGAAGTTCCTGAAAGACTTGAACCCCGAACGAAGGCCTGGCCTGGCATTCCATGTCCATAGTTCATTCTAAAACATATTAGCCTATCGTGGCCATCAGAACAGCAGGCACATTCTCAATCCTTTGTTTT